TATGCACAGCTAGACATAGGTAAAAATCTACATATCTAACCCTAGACTTAACCAACACATAATTACAACAAAACAGCGTGCAATGAACAGAAGTATTACTGGCACATCACATCACCATGCAATCTCTCATCTATTCTCTCATCTGCAAGACATTTTTTAAAATAATGTCAATGGGTTTTTAAATCAACACAAGAACACATCCATTGCCTATAAAACCAGATAATTCCTACCATCAAAATAATGATCACATCTGATAGACACAGTTTGTCTCACCTGTCTAAAGGTTTTGTAGTCTGTGGGGAGGTGGCCCATTCAAACCTCTGCCTTGTCCTTGTGTGAGGAGGAGCTGAGCCTGGCCGGGATATAGTGGGACCAAAACCAGCTGTGTGGAAATTGATTATAATGAGCACAATGAAGATCCAGATCCAATTATCAATTGCTAGTATTTTTTTACTTAAATATATTTCATTTAAATCATATCAAGTGGGATTGACAGGTAAAAAATGAGTTCTTTCATACAGAATCAGCATCATTATAATTACTTGATAAGTATGTTAACTTTTTTTTACAACATTACTTGGAGAGCTATATAATGCTGAATATACTAAAGATTATGGTGCTCAGGTGATAGATCAAAACCATATTATTAAAACCAGTAATTATAATCATAAGTACGATTTGCAACAGAATTTCCTCGTCTTGGATATAGTTCATACAATATAGTTTTCCAACAAATTGTCATTACTTGGGAGAAAAGGTCCTGCACAAAAATTATCTGCCAAAGCTTTACATATCATTTGTTTCAACTTTTCTCCTTACCAGTGCAAATATGACCACTAAATCTTTTTCATTGAAAAGGTAATAATTGAAAACAGGTGTGTGAAGGCTTACACATCAAACAAAGCCCCTTTTGTTTAGATAAACCACTTCCAACTGCCATCATTTTATCAATTATTAGCAGAGTTAAAAAGTCCATTTCTCATTTGTGTAGAAAGTATGGCTCACTGAGATGATAATAAATGGTGTTCGCATATTTTTTAAGTCTCAAGTACTTCAAACCTTTTTCGTAACAGAGTATAATATTAAGTTAATAAAACTGGTCAGTCCTTTAAGATTTGAAGACTTTCTCATAAATAGTCCAACCAGTTAAAGGTTTGAAAACTAATTTTGCAGTTGCAAGTCTACTAGGCTGCTGCACAATAAAAAAATGATGGTCAAAATGAAGTGAGTCAGGTGGATAAGACTTGAAGAAATCAAATGTATAAGTATAATGCATGCATACATACATTCTAAAGTCATCCAGTTGACTTGACCACTTTTCTGGCACATGTATATAGAAAAGGACACGCGGATGCTCAAACATTAATCTGATAACATTTAATTATTCTTTATGCTGCACAAAACCATTGTACATAAATAGTTCACAGATTGATACCACTACTCAAAAGTCCAGCACAGTTACCTAGCCCTTCAGGCTAAATGGCTGAAGACTGAAGAAGACTTGTATCAAAGACCTCGAGAGATGAAGAAGAATGTCACAAATTTGTACCCTGAATCTGGCTCTGACAGCTTGGGTTGGTAAGTTTCCACATTAATGATAATAAAAAAAGGATTAATGGCATGTTTGACTCCAAGATAACACGGGGAAGTATTGTAAAGAATGCAAATGCAATATTTGCGCAATATTTCCTCGGGCCAAAATAAGGGGATTCCCTAGAGAATTTATTTTTGTCTCTGTAAAAAAACCGAGCCAGAAGAATTTTTTTATTTTGTTATCATTTTTGTCTAACTCTTAACAAAAACACCTACTTGGTCTCTGTCTCCTTGGGCTCTCTATGTGAAGTCCGAAGTTTCTAGGTGTGCGATCGCGTCTGTGGGACTCATTTTCAGCTTGCAGTCGCCTTTCTAAGTCATTCAATTTGTTTTGAAAGGCACTCGTCGCCATTTTGACTGAATCATGTGATTTTAGCACTTTATTCTTAGCCATGATAAGCGATGAAGATATACTTAAATATGCATTAAATTGCAGTTAAATATATTCATTGGAGTAATTTTCTGTAAAGATTCCGAGAAACTGCTCATTTTTGATTCAGAAATTGAAATCGAATTTACATAATAACTATATAACAAAAGTAAGTCTGAGAAAAGCTCGCTAGCTCTGTATGTGTTGAGTGAGGTGCGCTGTCCGTGTGGTCGCAGCAATATCATTTCCAATGTGCGATTTCCAGTGAGTTATTAGGGAAAAGAAGTCCTTTCTCAGATTAATGATGAAGTGTTTGACTTCCTCACTGCGCGCCTCGAGAGTGACAAAATCATATGAGGTAATAATCCGATCACACTTTATCCATCGTTTGCTACTGAAATGAGGTCTGTGTACATACTACAACCACGTGGCCCGACAAAACAAACTTCGTCGGTATCCGAATAAGTCCGGTTTTTATTTATCTTTACATCTGCTGCCAATCCTGTAAAGAAGGGCCAGTAGAACTTCTCAAAGGGTAGAAGAGGTTATTTGTACATATTGCATTTAGCATAATATATTAATGATTTCGAGAAGATAAAAATCAATTTAGTAATCCAAAATTAACCATCGTTCAGATGGGGTCATACTAAAATACGCAAACTGCGAAGTCCGCGAAAACCTCAAGTTGTATCATTACAACTGCAAATATTCGGCTAATTTGTGGAGAACATCGAATGTTGGTAGTTTTTATGAGGTTTTCGCCGATCAACTTTTGGTTTTCGCGGTTTGCGTATTTTGGTAGGACCGGTTCAGATATATGTGACCGAGTTTTTGACCTGGTCATCAACTGGTCATGACATGGGAATGGGAGATCTGCACTGACCCGGATACAAGTTGTTATGATAATTTAACTTGATTGGGCTGGTCAGATCTGGATAAAAGTGTAATGGAACTTAACTTGGAGAAGACAGAGGAGTCTTTAGAGTCTCAGAGCATGGTAGTTATTGGTTAAGAGACTCGGGGAGTAATTTAATAGTTTTGAATACCTTCTACTAAACATGTAGTATTTAATTTTGGTAAATCTAAAGTGGTGACTTTCCTATAACTGGAGTTCATTGTTCTGTTCAGTCGTTTAGATAATAAATTTGATGAAGAGTATGTACAAGTATAAATGACTTTTATTCAGTATTAGCAAGCTATTGTTTTATTCTCCTTTTAAGATTGATTTTTTAAAGAAAAATGTTTTGAAAAAGTCTGTTCTACTCTGTGGTAAAAATAAAGTTTAGTGAACTATTTTTAGCTCAACTGTAGTCTGATTTTGTCTATCTTTGTTAATTTGTACATCTACTTCTATGATTTGTAACATAACCAACTTATTTTACTGTTAGTGGTTATTAGAATTTTATTAATAAATATTTAGTTATTATAGTTACTGTGATTTATGTTTATTACTTTATAGAGTGTCCTAAATTCCTAATTCTCATGGAGATCATTCCAGTAAAAAGTGAACATTTGGGTCACATCAATGTCGTACACGTTTTGTGTAATATTTGCATAATTTTGACTTGCCCCATTATTTTCACCATTTAAATAAGTGCCTTCCATTATTGAAAGAACAGTAATTTAAAAGTGGTGTAAAAAGCAAATATCACGCAAAGTTTGTGTGTCACTGACATCACATTCACTTTTTAATGTAATGACCCATACTTGTCATTAGATTTTTCGTCTTTTTCTTAGTACTTTTGGAAGAATGCCTTAAAATATATAAATATAAAATGCTTGATGAAAAAGATTTAAACCCTAAGCTGCAAAAGAGGATTTTTATTAGACCCCATTCCCATAGATTTTAGATCGATCTATCCCTGTGGGGAGTCTCACTAGATTACTGTCAGCTTAGCCGTCTTAAGTGTCTGTCCTGCCTACTTAAAGCTGTAAGGGGGTAATTAACTATGGTGTGCTCGGCTGACTGCAATTTAGCGTGAACCCCCAGGGAGTTAGGTCAAACTAAATCTAAATCTCTGGATTGATCTAAATCTCTGGGAATGCACCCTTAGATTACATGTATACTGTATATAATACTATTTAAATGCTAGCAAGATAATTGCTTATGAAATATTGTTATTCATTTGTAGTAAATTATAACAGCTGGTTTGGTGCATTGCTTTGTGCATATTCGAGCATTTCAGATGGTATTTGCTTGGGTTTAATATCTTGGTTAGTGGTGCAAAGCACTTTTTCATATAGCACACTCTTCCTATGTATCATTGTATTCCTTTATTTGAACTTAAACTGTTACTTTAAACAAAGGGATATTGATTAAAACACCAGTATCGGTCGGTGCATCATTTCAGACGCCATGGAGGATGTTTCAGAGGTGCCAGTCCTACTTTCAGGCTGTTTCTACGCAAGGCACCAAGATTTGCCCAAAACCAACTTTAGATGTAAGTGGAGGGTGATGGTGCATGTTACTGTCTACACATATACTTTATTTCTATGCTATGTTATATATACCTGCACATGAACNGAAATTCATGGCACTTTACCGTAATAACAGATGTAAGAAATTTCCCCCAAGTGAGAATTATATGGCATTTCTCCTTTCATAAATATTTCAGTTTAAATGATAAGTAACTTGCATCAAGATAAGAGTTAAAAGTCTAAAAAAGAATTGCATTCATGATTTATTTTAAATGTGCAGCAGGTGTGCTGCATATTATTGAGGAAACAAACTAGTGAGACCATGGCATGTTAAGAACAATCATTAATTTTATAAACATAAAACAGTCAATTTAGCATCTCCACTTAACTAGACTAGACTCCATCATGGAATTTAAATCAGATTACACAGTGGTATAGTAAATTTTAGTCAGATGCTAAAATATATTCTATTTCAGCTGAATGTATATTTGGTGGTGTTCAAATTTTTGATTTGGACAACATTTGTAAAAAAAAAAGTTAACCATGTATTGAACTGTAGTGGGGTTCACATTGAGGGTTCCTACTTGCAATTTTTCTTTTCTTTTTTTTTTTTTTTACGTCAGTGATAGAATTTCTGGTTAATGTTAGGAAGTTTATTGGAACACACCTAATCACCATCCTTTTATGACTGTTTCATTTTCTCCAGTTAGATGACATTGATAAGCTGAACGTCATCCATGTCAGTGGAACAAAAGGGAAGGGTTCCACATGTGCTTTCTGTGAAAGTATTTTACGTGCTCATGGGTATAAAACTGGTTTCTACAGGTATGTACACATTCTATCAAGGGAAAATTGAATTGAAATTTGGTAAATAAGGTTAATGGCCTACTATACAATAAGAACTGCCCAAAGATACTTGACTGGGGACATTTGATTTTATTATGAATTCCAAAGAAACGAATACATCTGCTGTTTTGAATTTTAAAAGAAACAAAATTCATCGGCTGCAACCGGATATTCCTTGATATTTAGATATGGCCATGATTAAAACTTCTGGACTTATTCAATGTCAAAAATTAACATTTTTTTGAGCAGTTCCCCTCACCTTGTCGAGGTCAGAGAAAGGATCCGGCTCAATGGGCTTCCTCTTTCTAAGGATATGTTCACTGACTACTTCTGGCAGTGTTATAACAAACTAATAGAAGGAAAGGTAAGTCAGACTGGAAACTCTGGCACATTTCTTAATTCATAATTTCTGAATAAATATTTAATGTTACTAATGATTTTTTTTTTCATTTTAGAACCCATCCTATTGTAATATTTTTATATTTGAATTTCGTACTGTAATATAAAGTCAGCAGTTTTCTTTTTTTTTTTCTCAGGACAGTGATGGAGGAAGCATGCCATCTTACTTTAAATTCTTGACTGTTATGGCTTTCAAGGTGTTTGTTCAAGAAAAGGTATTTCATAAAAAAAACTTTATTTTAATTTGTATAATAGTTTTATAAATAAAGCATTTGCAGCATAGTGTTTTTCTTGTACTTAAAAGTTTTAAAAAATATAATAACATCCACATTGCTCTAGGATGTAGCAGTGTTTTTAAAAACTACATAACATGGTTGACATTTTGTAGAACATTCACATAAAGTACAGTCTTTTCAGTAATTCAAATTCTCATATAGATACTTTTCTTTTTTCTCTGTAGGTAGATGTAGCTGTGATTGAAGTCGGAATAGGAGGCCAATATGATTGCACAAATATTGTCAGGTAAATAGGCACATGGGTTCTTAATTGTTGCTATTCTAACAGTCATAGCTGCAATAGTTCCACATTCTAATTCCATTAAGAGAAGACTCCAAAATTAAAAACTAAGAACTCGTATTGTATGGCTTCATAGGTCAAAGGTTTGTCAGGGTTTTATTTTGCTACTTTGGTTATTGAGATAGTGAAATTTGCAGGGAAATGAATCTATTGTTACACAGAGGTCTGGTGCTCATTTTGTGCCTTTCAATTTTAGTTCATTTGTATTCTCAACAGTATGAATGCGGCATGCAAGTTGCCTTCAAACTATAATTTTGGAGGGCTTGGACCATTTCTTGTGTTTTTTGAACCAACTGTTTTTGACCCAAAATAACTTTTAAGTGTCTACCAGATTTCAAGATTGATATTGTACAGTTAATTTTGTTATTAAAGAGATGTTCACTGGAACATAAAAAATAGCCATAGATCAGGTAATATCTTATTTTCATTTTTGCAGGAAACCAGTGGTGTGTGGAATAACATCTCTTGGTATAGACCATGTCAGTATTTTAGGAGATACAATTGAAAAGATAGCCTGGCAGAAAGCAGGGATAATGAAGGTGCCACATATTACATATTCAATTAAATATTAAAATCACAGTAGGGAATTTATGGACATACTACAAATACTGCTCTATTGTTGGCTATTAAAGAATGGTAGTAATTTGTTATCATCCTAAGCCTTTCAACTGCCATAAGTTTCCTGTAAGAAATGGTTGAAATTATTTGGGTTTGGGGTATATTTTCTTTACCTTGTATTCAAAGAGTTCAATTTCAATTTACAATATTGAAGATTTGCTTTTGGCCATGTTAATGAATGAAGCCTTGCAACATTTCCATCTAATATCCAGCCTGGTTGCCCAGCAGTTACAGTTCCCCAGCCAGGAGATTCTTTACAAGTCATAAACCAGAGAGCTAAAGAGATAGGAGTAAGTGCATGTAGAGATGTAGAAAAAATGAGAATGATGTGAGTAGAATTGCCAGCCATTATTATTCAGCAGTTTAAAAAAAGTGTCAAAAAGCACCAAATTTCAGGAAATAATTTGTTAAATTAAGTAGGTCTATTTTATTTTAAATTTGCTGTTGTTGTTGTTGAAAGTTATGTTTGTTCAAT